ATATTCCCCTAACATCGTCATCTCTCAAACCTGTCAATTATTTTAAACATAATCGGGTGCTTGAAACGAACTGCAAATGCAAATTTGTATTGAAATTATGATAATGATATTCACACAGTGCTTGTTCAATATTTGCCAATCTATTACACATCATGAGGTAATTTGTATTTATTTTTCCATTAGAAATCTCTTAATGACATACACTTTTAGACAAAACAGAAATTATATGTTTCGTTGAGTCAGTCCTGATCAATAGTCATGTCCACAAAGTGAATTGTTTGGTAAAAGAGGTTTTTTCTTCTTCAAGATGTCGAAACAACAAAGCTCTGACATATTGTTTTTACCATACCGATTAAAATCAAATTAATTTGAATGCATTAAATTTGATAAAATTTATTGCAATAATTTCAGATATATTACTGACGCCATTAGAAATATTAGTTTCCTTTTCCGAGATGATATGCATCAACGAGCTATTTTCAGATTGTTTGATCTGCATTCATAATGAGGACGAATACCAGTCGTTTTCTAATAATATCACTGAGACTAAAATAGAACAACTGTATTGCCTATAAACATTTATTGTACATGTAATATAATGATAGCGAATATGATTGAATGACTTTTAAATTTCTAAGCAAACGTTCTAGAAACAAAGTTAAACACACATGGTGATTATCAAAATTAGACGAGAAGCATCTTGTTATCAATAGACTGACCAAAGCTTTTCTGGAAAGGACATAGTCTATTATTGTTCTTATAACAATGGAATAAAAAAAAACAACAACAACAAACATGTGTTGTTATAAAACACCGTCAGGGGCGAGCCGTTGTTTCTTTGAGCAAGAAACTTAAAACGCATTGCTCAGGAGGTTACAGGAAGGGACTCGAGTTAGAGAGTGTGTCTATATGCTTGAGGCTTCCTACACAATCGTGCTTAACCAAATTCTGTATAAACCAAAAGAAATTTCTGAGGAGACTTAGTGTTAAAGACCATATATTTACATGAGTATTCCCTATTTTTCAATTTATGTACATGTATAAAAATTGCTGTTGCGGTTGTTAAGTTATCAATATTCAATTATATTATAAAAATGTAAAAGAATCTTGTTGCATTTGATATTGTAAATGTTATAAACCATTACTAAATAAGACCTTTGCAATTTGTTTAAGATCGAATTATATTGGTATATTCGCCGCCAGGAGGAAAACTTTCATTACCTTGAATGACACATATTTGACATAATTAAATTGCATTGAATACAGTCATATTTTTGACGCCGTTTTAATATAATTTTCCTGATGATAGCATGATCTGCTTTGCACAATACCGGATATTAACATTCAAACCAATATATTCTATTTATAACAATATGATGGAAATAGAATTGATTATTTAGAAAGCAAGATGTAAAAGGGACCAGCGGGCAGTTTCATAGCAATTTAATGATGCTTAATTATCAATGAAAAAAAAATAAGCACAACTGATGAAAACTTATTTATATATCTTGGGAAGCGTTGATATGCGATAGTGATGTGTTACACATTGAACAATTAAAAAGGATATTAGACAAAGATACTTAAAAATAATTAAACATTAAATTGAACAGTTTTAAAATTTGTTGTACCTTTACAAATTAATGTGTTTAAAACGGTTGTTTGCTTTGTCTTGTCCTACAGTCGTTAATAATGGGCAATTTAGCTCGTTAGGACTTTCTGTAAAGCATAGTTCGGAAATCAATTTTAAACAACATTTTTACAATTCTTGTTCCACCAACATCATACAAATGATAGACGTCTTAGAGAACTTTTATTTCAAGTAAACTGTCTAAACTGAATGAAATCTTTATCTTGTATCGTTATAATAAAGTATTATATAAATGCAGTACACTTAACACTTAAATAATTATTGTATTGTAATATATGCAAAAACGATTTCAACATAAGTTATAGGGTATTTAGATTACATCAATTCCATTTCAATAAAATGCAAGAAGTTTTCAAGGCAGTAACTGCATATATTTTTGTAACTAATTCAAGAATGTTAACGTAGGATATTACAAAGCTTATAACAGATTGATATTGAAATGTCTTCAATATATTTTACCTTGTAATTTAATTAGTAAATAAGCATGCTAGGTAATCATTAGGTTTGACCGAGTTCAAGAAGCCATCGTCAAAATATCAAGGAGCATTAGCATAAATAACAAAACCTTTGTATACAATATGACTTCCGGTTCACGAAATAAATTTTAAACAAAATAGAATATATAGTTTTTTATGAAGCTTTATATAAATCAAATATGCAGTAATTAAAGCAATCCATTATATCAACCCCGTGAACATTGATATCTGTTGATATCTGTTGGTTTTCACTAAAACAATATGGAGAATAATGATTATTAAGACGAACTGGTTAATAATGTTCGTCCAATGCTTCCGTAATAATATTGATCTGAAGCCAAGCGGTTAAGAAAAGCTGTTGAAGGTGGATTTTTTCAGAATTTCAATCGGCTGTTTATGTCTTACAGCATGTTTAAGCCAGATCAAGTATTGAAAACAGGATATCAAAGAAACCTTAACTGAAAGATAGTGTCGGTTTAAGAATGACAATCTTCACATTCACCATAGCATAATACTAATAGAACACAGAGTAGTCTTTAATAGCAGACAGTTATCAGTGTCAGATATAACATATTTTATCCACATTTGTAGCACATTTCTCCCATGTTTACATATTGCATAACAATATACATATGCTGTCTTTGATGGAAAGAACATGAATCAGCAAATTGCAAAAACTATGCCAAATATGAGTACTGCTATGTTCTCAAATGTAAATATCATGCTATTCTTTAGTGAGGTATTTTTTAAATTACCATTACAAATTTAAATGAGTCATAAATTTGTCATACCTGTAGATTGTTTTTCTACTGGAAATAGTGACACTTTAATTGGTTTCAAATTAAATTATCATGATAATATATAACTTGCTGTGTCAGTAGCATATATGTATAGGATTATATGTTAATTAATGTGTGCTGAACTAACCTTACAGAGTTTTATCAAATTATATAATGAAATCCATTTGCATCTTTATTCATATCAAAATAAACAACAATTCAATTTTAATTGTTTTATTATCATTATTATAATAATTATTTAACATTAACTCATTTCTATATAATTGACTCATTACTATATAAGATACAAGCTGATTATAAGAAGACAACATAAAATTAGATATAACCTATCTGGATCAATATGACGTCATCATCATAGTAATTGACATACCTTCCGTTGGAGGAACAAAAACTGCTCGTCAATAAAATGGTTGTCTATGGATCTTAAGAAAATTGTACTGTGCAGCATGCGATATACATCTCATATTATTCCGTGTTTTATTGATTCGTTGTAAATTGTACGTACCAACATATTATACCAAAGTTAAGAATACAATTTTCCTTCTTAAGAAAGGACTAACATGAGTTTTGTTACATTTAACAAATAGTTTTTTGTGCATTTTAGATCCTTATCACATGTAGAAAGAAGCGATGAATGTGAAGAAATTCGTTATAAAAGAAGTCAATGTGAACAAAGTAGCATTTCGACTTTCATACAAAATATTATCTACTACGTACATCACTTTGACTGTACCAATTGCCAAACAACAATAGGAGCACATTTAAGAATATGATCAACGCCGTATAGACATATAGGCAGATTTTGACCAGATACTTTATTATTGCTCCGCGCCCACAGGCGCGGAGCTATTTGTGTTTACTATTTTTTTGTCCATGGGCCCGGATTTGATCAATAAATCCCTTCGATTTACAGCTAAAAATAAATCCGCATTCAAGAACTCCTTTCGATTTCTATATTGGTTTCTCCGTCGGTGATTCGCAGCATGTCATATTAATGAATGAGAACCGGAAAGCAGTTACTATATTATAATATAAGTCCCTTTTGTTACTATTTGTATATTTGTTACAATTATAATAATAAAAAATAACAGACTTTGATATTTTTATCATCTTATGTTACTGACTACAGTAGTGACACAAACAGAACACAGTACAGTCATGTCACATAACATTTACAAGTCTTGTAAGTCTTGTTTGTATTCAATGGAATTACTTTCCTTACCAGGTAGGCATCAGTGAAAGCATTTTTATATTAAATATCTTTCCCCTCTTTTTAATTAAGGACAGTACATAAGATAAGTATAATTATGCAAAAAAATGGTTTACAAAACATTCGGAAAAAATCTACAATAGTACTTAATCTGAATATAACATGACCTGTGCGTAGGAATAATTTGGTAAGGTATCTATAATTAGCGCATTTTTGCGCGGAGCTTCTCAATTGCTGCATTGCAGCAACATTTGTACTTGTACCATATTCTATTGGCACATGTTGAATTCTGTAAGTGTTTAATGTATTGAACCCAGGAGAAGGTAGCTTGCATCAACTACTAGGTTATTTATGCAGGCTCTGCAACAGTTTCACTTTTGTCATTATTGGGCACATTTAATGAATCCCACTTAAATGTTTAAATGTGGTTGTTTTCAGTAATCAGTGATTTATTTAATGAAAATATAGGTTTAAATCTTAGATACTACTTCAAGGTAATATTATGTTATGAATAATCACTTAATGTTATCTCTGTGTCTGTTTGAACTACCACTGATATGATACATGTATTTGTTAGGTTTAATGTCACACCAACATGGGTAAAATGAAATGGCGACTTTCCAGCTTTATTGGTGGAGGAAGACGTCAGTTGCCCTTCCGTGCGTTATTTCAGGCATGAACGGGCACCTGAGTAGAACCGCCGTAAAATAGCTTGATTGCTTTCTCACATGAGACAATTCACGGAATTCGAACCACACAACGGTCAGGGGCAAGTGGTTTGATGATAACGACCTTAACCACCAACGGACGCCCCTTACTGATGATATTAAATAACATTAAGAAACAAAAAAAATATCATAAATAAATCCGACGGAATAATGTTTTATTCATAATAAAAATTGAATTAAAAAATAAATTATACATGTGAACATTTAGCTTAAAGTTGAAACATTATCCAATAACACAGTCATGATCCACACATCCACATCTAAATTGCTGACCGGAACATGATCCCACGGGGTTGCATATACCTGAAACGATTTAAAATGACATATGGGTTGCATATATACCTGAAACGATTTATAATGACACATTGGATGCATATACCTGACACAATTTAAAATGACACATGGGTTGCATATACCTGAAACGATTTAAAATGACACATGGGTTGCATATATACCTGAAACGATTATATTGACACATGGGATGCATATACCTGACACGATTTAAAATGACACATGGGTTGCATATATACCTGAAACGATTATATTGACACATGGGATGCATATACCTGACACGATTTAAAATGACACATGGGATGCATATACCTGAAACGATTTAAAATGACACATGGGTTGCATATACATGGAACGATTTTGAAAAAGACATATGGGTTGCATATACCTGAAATAAATTATACACAATATATTTAAAGCTAGTTTAATATCAATAAAAGATATTTTTGTTCACAAAATTGTTAAACAAGATGTGTTTGTAAAACAAAGTATTCCAAGAAGTGAAGTTTGATGCCATCCGTTGGTCCATAATTATTTAAGAGAAAATAAAGATTTCATCCAGTGGTATTTATTTGCCTCATAGCAAGGGGCTCTTGTTTAAGAAATGTTTCGATCAAGATTAAAGTTGTATGTTATTGTATTAAACATAAAAGTAAGATACTTTGTGGTTATTATGAAGGTTTTCATAAGTATAGATGAGTTTTACCAGGATGGCCTGTTGCTGAACCAGCAGGCGTGGCACCTTTAGTCCAAACACACTTTGGGTCGCCTAATTCTTCACCGTTTGTTTTACCATCACCATCACTATCTTTATTACATAACGCTACCGTCCAAGTATGACCTGCTGCCCTAAAATCCTACAAGAAAAATATATGAGCCGCGTCATGACAAAACCAACATAATTTTTGCCTCAACATGTAAAACAGGGGTTGCCTAGGCAGTCTGATCAAGGGTCCATGCTGTTTGATTTAACAAAAAAAATACAATTTGTGGAAATGAAGCAAAAGTATGGATCCTGATCCGGATGCGCAGGCTGATCTGGATCCATGCTGGTCGCAAAGCCATTATGTTGGTTTTGTCATGAGGCGGCTCATATTAAAATAGTTTCAAGTAACACCTACACTGTAAAAATTCGAGATAATAAATCGAATGCCAACTTTTCTAGCTTGGTTAATCACGCGAAGCAGATAAACTGATCATATACTACTTTGTTTTTCGTTCAGAACAATCTGACAAAAGATTAAACAGAATTATTGGATTAAACAACATATATATGTTAAATTCACATTATGGTTCAGAAACAAATATTTCTTTATTCTTAAGAAAGAACAAACGTGAGTTTTTAAAGTTAAAATAATGGTTTTAGAGCATTTTACAATTAGCTCTGAATGTGAAATTATTTGTCATAAAACTAGCAAAATGTTAACAGAGTAGTATTTTGACTTCCATTCTACTACTTAATCACTATATTTTGACTGATTGCTATAAAGGCAACGGCAGTAAAAGATTGTTTAGGCAATTGGCCAATGCGTAATTTTTTCGACCAAAATAAAAAAGCTTCTGAAAAAAATAAAATAAAGGCAAACCTTGGGCACAATATACGTTTAAGTGTATCAATTTATAAAACACCTACCAGTCCGAAAGGATTTTTGTCAATTGTATGCTGAGTTGGATTATAGTGTCCTACCGCCAACCATATTCCTCCACCACATGGGTTTGGCACATTATGTCCATTTGGTATGAAGTCCTGATAAGTTGGAAACGCACGGATTGTGCCTATGATTACTAAAGCGAGAACAAAGCCGAACATTTTCTTAAGATTCAAAATTATCAATACTCGAAAGTTACCTGCCGAGAGATATTTATACAGATTTACACTGAGATAGTTAACGTTTATGTAATGTCAGTGCTATATCTTCTGTGACGAATGATTTCAAAGTTAAGTTTGTATAATACATTACTAAGCAAAGACGATTTATATATGAATTGCATGTTGTACGAAGTAAAAGTGCTCATTTAATTACTGATAAATATTATGAACTAGCTATCTTCATTCATTTTTTTACATTATTCTATTCTTACATTAGAAAGTACGTACTGCATTTATATTTACTTAAATTTTCTATCATTCAATCATGATTTTTTTCTATAGAGTTTATATCTGTACATATATCAGCTTGAATCGATTAGTAAAAAATAACACTGACACGGCGAAACCTCCGATGTCCCTGAATGATGCATTAGTTCAGACAGAGCGGGTACAGACATAAAATAACAGACCCAGTATAAGCTAGCACGAGAGCTTCTTCAATAAATTATCGTGTATTGTTTGTTATTTTGATTTGGTTTTGTTGCTTTTTAAGTTACATCAACACTGTTAAGGTCATAGGGCGACTTTCCAGTTTAAGTGGCGGAGGCAGACCTCAGGTGACAATCCGTGTATTATTTCAGACACGAGCTAGCACCTGAGCAGAACAGCAGACCTTTCGGAGCCTAGTGGGTTTTAAACCTGAAATAATCAAAGCACAGAAGGAGCTGAATTTGTTTGGGTCTCAGAATGTCAGAAAGGTGAAGGTTGTGAGATTATAAACCAATTTGTTTTTGTATAGTGCCACCAATGCTTTCCAGCGTTTTAATTGTAGTAGATTGGCTATAAGACTAATTGCAACACTGATATTCAATCCAATGTTTATTTGACTTAAACAATTTGAGAAAAAAAATCAGTTGCCTTACCTGGGATTTGAACTCCAGACCTCTCGCTTTATAGCGAGCTCGCAAACCCCTCGGCCACGGCGAATTTATATGTTAACGGCCTGAAGAAAACCATATTATTTTAAATTAGGGTTTGTAACGACGCTAACTGTTGTTTAACACTTGTGCAATAGTCATGGCGCTTACTGTAAGCATGTATATCTATAAAGAAGAAAACAATATTAGAAATATTCGACCATTCGGGAGGAATTATTTTGCTTGAAAATAAATGCGCCTGTCGTGTGACCATAATTACGCAGTGATCTCCCCTGAATTTTTGGCCTTTGTGTTACATATAAAGGGAAGTAACCGCTTCAAAAAAGCGGACTACTTTCGGCACTTGCAATTAACAGCATTAGAGTCTGAAATTTCGCTACCATTATTTGTTTGGTCTGACGACCCAAACAAATAAAAACTGCTACCAAATATAACATTAATGATCTCAACAAGTCATTCACTCTCATACTTTATGGTATAGGACTGTCTTGAGGTAGAATATTCCGAACGTAATGTCCGAGGCATGAACAGGAGATCACTGCGTCCGGACAAGTCTTAAAACAACATCGAGCAGATTTATTGGTATTTTCTCAAATAAGGACGTCACATAGGAAACACCCGCTCACGCGAAATAAATGTTGTTTGTGGCACAGCAACTTCTTGTTAAACTTTACAATAAATAATTGTAAACATATTATTCTGTTCTTTACTTTCATTTTCTGTATAACAATTCAAATATGCCTAATGCAGAGATTTTGTTAGTAGAAAAGAATCAATATTACATGTACATATCTTCGGTCACAATATCTTGAACCAAGACATTACATTTTACTGTATAACCACTGATTTATGATGTAATAAATGCATGTTCATGATAACCTTATCTTTAATCACTTTAGTCGTGACTTCAATGTCAAAAACGAAGGTGAAATGCTGTCCTTAAGGCCGACATAAAGTCGTGGCATACTGACCATACTGACATTGTTAAGGGCATAAAGTAGAACACACCTTGTAAAAGACGGCAGCACGAACTTCTATAAATTCATTGTCTGATAGATGAATCTGAAATTTCATTAACCCCCCCCCCCCACACACACACACAAAAACACACACACTAAAACAACAACAAACAAACAAACTGACGGTTAACATTCTCATATTTTCATGCAATAATCATTTACATCCATCTACATACAGTATCAAAGAGTTTGTGTTAACTGTATTATCTTTTTATGCTTGAAAATACCTTTTGGATAAATTTAAAAGTAATACAAATATTATTATTTTTCATTTGGTGACCTTCAAAATTTACTGGTTGTTCATACGATGTATTTTGCTATGTATGATTTGTCTGGAATTGACATGCTGTATGTGTAAAAACTATCACAAAACTGTAAACCTTTCTGGCGATAGATTGAAATTCATTAAAATATCATTGGCTTCTGGAAGACTGCTTGATATATGATATAAAAGGTCAAGTACCGTACGTAAGTGCAGTAGCTTATCACTGAAATGTTTAAAGGTATTAAATAAATTAACCTATATTTGGCATCATTTTTAAAAAATGCTCACTTTTTGTGCTACCTTTTGTACTATTTTTTGTACTGAATTGAAACAGGACTAATAATATGTGCACATAGTTACCGAAAACCGTTTCTTTTAACGTTTAAGGAAGATAAGATTTTACCTAGCTTCTAATATTAAATTTATCAACATGCAATCATTTTATAGTAAGGTTACAACCCTTTGCCACGCTAAGTATTTTATCTTTCAATCTGCAGAAAATCATTAAAGATATTGTACGACATCATTTAATTTGGAAAAAATGCTTTTATTATAGAAATGTGTTGAAATCTAGACGAGTCTTACTGATCATATAATTTGAATAATAGAGTCCAGAAATTAAAGTACATCTTATGTTTAAAATGGATTCTCTACTATGGAGTAATTCAAATATCAATAAAAACCATAGAATTGTATTACGTTTGTATTTGGATATTCTTAAATCTATTGCTTGAAGAAAGGTGTTCATAAAGTTCTAAGTGATGAGTGTGAACATTTATATGGTGAACAATGATATTTTCTCCAAGAATATTTTATTATCTGCTACAGAAATATACGTTATATTGGATCAAATATCTCTCACTTCCAACAACAGCCAAATATAATCATTTCGTGGTTTGTTGTTATCCCAGATTCTAAATACTATCAACGTAATAATTTATTGTATTACAGACATTCCATTATAGACCAATTCACTTTAATATCGTTTTATATCATTGCATAAGTTTCTTTTTCTAATAATCATAGATATAAATGACCATATACGAATATAAACATCAATATATCTTAATTCTACCAAAATTGCAATAACATTTAAATAGAATAAAGTCAAATGCCAATATATTTATGCTAGTATTTTGACCAACTGCAAATAAACAAAGCTAATGTAGTTTAAATAAATTAATTAGTTAACAAATTATTAATTGAAAATGAAAATTAAAGACAGAACACACCACGAACGAATAACATATACATGTATGTCACACAGGTTAGCGTCATATATGAGTGGTTATTTCAACACTGTTATGTTCTAATGTCATATAGAATTTTATCATTTCGTTCTAGTTATTAAAAGAATAACAATGAAACAGCTTAAAATCTATATATTCGTGTGATACAGGATCTGCGTATTAGAGTCGTTACAGGATGTGGTACAAGTACTTTATACTTCATACTGGTCCCTTGTTGGAGACAAGTATGTGTCATATTTGAAAGCGTGTTAGATATTATGGTCAAATCTTGTTAATTTGTATACAGGAACGGCGGCAATAATGTTTTAAACGTTCATCATGAAAGCACATTGTCTGGCAAGTATATTGTCAATTTAGTTTCTCCCGACATTGAAGACATATCTGAGAAATTACATATTAAGTCAATTATTGTTGTTTTTTTTCTTTGATAAATTGGCATGTTATAATTCACAAGGGAATGATAGACCGTTGATATGTACTTGATAACAAAGAGAACACTATAAAAGCAAATAAACACTTCCAATTTGCGATGTTTCAAATTTAATTCAAAATTTTGGTTTCATGCCATTGTATATTTTATTTACACGCAGACATATGTTTTGTTCTGACTGGTTTTGTTCAAATCAGCAGAGATTTACCTACATGGACGTTTTGCCATTAGAATTTACACATCGTTGAACTTTCACGTTCTTCTGTTCTGTATGTATATGGACATTAATTAAGTTTATTTAATATCTTGTGGAAAATCTTTTTATTGTTATATTAAGGTTAAAAGATGGAACTTGAAATATATTTACATATACGAGGGGTGTTTAAAATGTAATGCTAACGCGCATGCCCTCTTCATGTACTTGATTAGCTAAATTTACTACACATTTTAAAATTACTTCCTTTCCTTTGAATAATTTTGTTATGGTGTTCCCAATCATATAAAACATACAATGAGACATATGAAATAAAACATAGTACAAAACATGATATAAAACATGATTGATAGCCTTCATTTCATACTTTCATACCATCCCAAATGCATTTTTCAACTTGTATCTTTGCGCTGGCAAATAAGTTTTTTTAAAAAAGATTTTGACCAAATAAAATGATCGCCGTAAATACGCTGCTTAATAAAGAACTTTATAACGTTTTGGTTTGTGTGTGCAAATAATTTATTACAATATCTTGTGTGAAGAAGCTTATGTAAAAGATTTAGATATTTAATTTATTTCTTTAAATGCCTTCATAAAAAATCTCAGTATTCCTTTTGAAATCCTTTTGAAGCTCCATGTATTGTTTTGATGTTGCTGCTTTCGGGTGGCGACACGATTTATGTTATCTTCGACTTATTTTGATCAACTTTATTATGTTAAACATAGCAATTAATTGGACTAAACGACACATCTTTTTATCTAAATATTTTACTTTATTCTGTATGAATTTAGTCATACTCTTAATATAGGCATTGACTTCAATATTATTCAATACACGTTTACAAAACAGTTTGCTAAGAGCAGGGACTATTTATCCAGTCGGGGCTATCTTCGGGTGAAAATCTGTGCCTTAAATAATACCCGACAT